CAAGCGAAAAAAAAAGCAACCGAGATGAGTACCGGGACGAACGCAAAGAAAGCTGAACAAAAAAATGATTGTAATAAAGTAAACAAAGAACTGAAACCCAGAAACTCTCATATTTCTTGTAAATTGTGCGATGGTTTCATTTGATGGTGGTGTGCGCTCTTCGATTTGATTTCTTTGTTAGATGGAAAAACTCGTTTTTACATTGTGGTTTTCCTCTTTAATTTCATTTCTCTTGCTCTTCTTGGCCATAACTTTTCTTACCACTGAATTTATATTCCATGAAAGCACACACTTCTCCGTTTTTTTCTTTTTGCATTGCACAATTTTTTTCCACTTTTTGTGTTCTTTTTTATTATAATTCTACGCAACGACACATCCACATTATTATTTATTCTGCTCAGTTTAAGTCGTCTGATTGAAATTTTGAACTGACTGTCGGTCAACGTCACAACTGATTCAATATATTTTTTTCGTCGAGAGATCGGTATTTCATTCGAATGGCATTTTTTTTGTCGAATTCAATGACTTCCATTTCAAACTATAACACATATTTATTTTCAGCTTCATCATTTTTAAGGAACTTTAACTTTAAAATGGATAAGAATTCGATGAAGTATGGATGTGAAGTATGGTCAATATTGTTCTCTGTTTTTTCTCGATAAAACCGGAATCCATTTGACTTATAAAATAAATTTGAAGCGTTTTCGACCAGTATTCTGAAGTATTTTTTTCGAGTTCGGTCTCTTGGACTTATTTTATGGCAACTGTTTCATCAAACATTTCCGTATTCAAATAAATGGAGCTTTTTTTGCAGAGTTCCAAATTCGTTTTTCCTTATTTATAATACAAAATGGTTGGCTTGATTTTCTTTATGATAGAAAAATGAATTTTTATAAAAAAAAAAGCAAGCATAGTAACAGCTGTTTCAATTGTTGTTACACGATGCTAGTGCTCCATCATGTTAAATGTGCAAGACTTTCAGTATGATCAAAGTAAAGAGTTGTGAAAAATTTGAATTTATAATTTGGTGCAAAATCAACGGGGCCAAGTTTTGTTTCATCCGGCATTTCAAATAAACACAAAAAAGCTGCACATCAACGGCGACTCAATGCCCAATTTTCAATCAGTACAAAGTTCATCTCTCGAAAGAGGCTAATTAATTTGTAATTGGATTTAATTATCATCGGCAAATAATCGAAAGAATTAGGTGGATGTGCGCTGCAAATGCGTATGGTTCGTAAAAATCTTATTAACGAAGTGAACGTCTCGACTGCAGATTAACATGACTTTAATGATCCTCTAATAAATTCATTTTATGACATTACAACCATGGTTTCATCGTCTTCATTATCGCCAGTGACCGAAGTTTTTTTTCTTCTTCTTCTTTGCATGAAATCCATGCGCTTGCATCTGGTACAATTTACGTCATACAATATTTTGTATCTGATTTAGTGAAATTGAGGCGAAAGCGGTCTCGGTGAATCCATTTAAATCTGAATGAATAAATTAAGATTTACCTTAGGCGGCGGATATATAGCATAGAGCATCCGTAGCTTGGGACCAAAAATTACTTGACGACAGCTGTAATCGACTTTTTCAAAAACGCCTAGCAACAATGAAAAAAAAAAAAAAAAAAAACAAATTGAAATCAACAATAATTCTAGTTCGACGATTGGAACGTACGCCACTTATACAATTATTCAATTGTAGATTGAAGCGGTGTGTCACAGCGCGCCCCTAATTCGAATTTTATTCGTGTGTTCTACTCGTATGAACTCTGAACTCATTTCCACTTTTCTTCGGTTCAGATCCATTTTTGGCAATGCAAATAAAATAAAATAAACGAAAATGGTGGCTTGAATGGTGTCAGTTTGAGAGATTTATCTGAGATGTTGCTTGTCTGCTTTACAAAAATGCACACTAATCCAGCCAGTTAATCCATTTCTCCGCAATTGATTGCATTTCTGTCGTCGGCACAATGTTTTTTACACTGTCATTAACATGTGATTTTGAAAGACTAGACAAAACGCAACATGACATTTGAAACAACCACATTGTATTGAATAAGTCGATTCTAAAAGCAAAAAAAACTCAGATCCGAGAAAAAACAACAACAAATGAATCACAAAAAAAATTGAATTGGCAAAATTAACTGATATCGTGCATAAAAATATGAAATATTACCAAATGAAGAGCTTTTGTATTAAGACATCGCTCACAACATGCAATATATGTTTACTTCTTTATGCTTATCACTCATAAATTTCAACAGAGGCTAAAGACACGATTCAATGCTATTTTTTTGTATGTGTATATGGCCTTGTCACGGATTTATGCGTTTATATTTTCTACGTTTCGGCGCATTTATCTGACATTTCACAAGAGCAAACATACATTCAACGTGCTGCCCGCACGAGATTCCATCTTTGAGAGTTCATCTTCGTGGCTGGAAATATTTTTTACGTATGCAAGCCTCATTTTTGTCGGCATTTACACGTACTCGTACACAAACACAAAAAATTTACTCGCCCCCAAAGTGTGTATCTCTTTTTTTCCCGCTTTTGTTGACTGTTTGTGTGTATGACGTTGCCTCTTCTTTTTGATAGGCTTTAATATGTACTTGAACATTGAGTTCAACTGGTTCGAATATTTCTTGCATTTTTCATTCGGCTGAGAAATTTTCAAATATATAAGCACACGATCGCACAATAGAAGACCAAATTGCTCGAGGATACTGCACGTTTTGCGAATGCCAGCCAATAACCGAACAAAAAGAAAGAAAAAATGGAAAAATATTTGCAAAGTGGTGTTCATCGAGTAACAAATGATGGCAACAAACATGAGAACAGGACAAAATACCATGGTGTTTTGAATAAATTGTCTGGGCGAAATGTTGAATTGCATGTTGAAGGTGTTGTGCGTGTATATGGAGATTTAATCGGATCGATATTTTTTTGTGCCTTCTCTATTGACACAGTACAAACAGCAAAAAAGCGACAGCGAACAAGGGAGAAAATGTTAAAACAAAACTATGAGCTCTACAGGCAAATAACAGCGGCACAACATCAGTAGCACTAGTAACGGCATCAGAGTACAAGACCCCAAACTGAAACATTTACATCCATTTACATTTAGTTATATTTACAAATTTACAGTCGTAATATGCGTAACTTGGGGCAACATAATCGAAATGGAAAATACAGATAAAAACGATGGGAGATTCAAGAAAAGATGAACATAAGAAGAGATGGGGACGACCGAAGAATCTGCAGCACGGAAAACTACACTACCATCCGACTAAACGATTTTAAAATATCATCTATATGCGACGGAAGTATTGAAGTGTCATGACACGCACCACAACTATAACATTTCATCGATAATACACACTGAAATATTTAGCACACGGCAAATGGAGGAAAATAGAAAAGAAAGAATAAAAGGAGGGAAATGGAGAAAAGGAATGGGAGAGAGTTGAAAAACACGATTTAAAAAAGTTATTGGAGAAAATGAATATCAATGAAATGATGGCGTGTATGTGGTTATAGTGCAGGCATGCTATTCTGCTTATAACAAAACATGGTTTTTCTTTCTTCATAATTGTGCTGCTCGGGATGTTTTTGTTTGGTTTAATTTTCAATTCATCTCGTTGCTGCTTAACACGCACCGCGCATATATATTATGCGGTACGATTATGATTTTTTATGTGCTTCAAAACAGGCAAGCAGTTAGCGCAATTTGTTTCAGAAATGAACATACGGAGTGTCAGAGATAAACTGCATGGGATAGTCAAATGTGTGGTAGTAAAATAATTTACCTTCGAGCGAAAAACTATTTTTCTTTCTTTTGAATCAGAAAATGTAAATGTGTGAGTGTGTGTGTGTATGTGTCTTTTTTGTGTGTTACATTGTTGCCGTTGTGTATATATTAGCCGGGTACGAATCAACATGGTAAGAGAAAGATAGGGATCCATAGCGAGATGCAAAGTCAACAGCAATCGTAAAAATGGGTTATGTAATCACACATGCACGTAGTAAAAATTGTGATAAGAAAAGTTGGCTCTCGTGCGCATTATACAATATATCCATACATTCCATCACATTGCTATTCACATTTCGCATTATACACGGTGCTTTCGTCAAAACGTCCAAAGAATATGATGAGCTCTTGTATCCTTGATGCTTGAAATGTTCGTTTTGGTCACTTCTCACTTCTGATTGCTTAAGTTTTATAGGGATTCTTCATTTTGGTATTTATGATGGTGCTACGCATTTTATATACGCCTCACACCACTTTCTTAGACTATTTCGACGGGTTTCTTTGATCACAGATTGTGATAAACGATGACTCTCTCTGAATTAGAAATAAAATATCCCCAGTGACAAAGTAAATGGTTTTATTTCACCGCCAAAACATTTCTGTTTTACCAGCGGCAAAGAGTAAGAAGAAAAATAAAAACAATTCTTGTTGCTTTGCATCAAATTCAATCGTTAACCCAATCACATCGGACTTCGTTCATTCATATATTGTTTCAGTTTGTTTGGTGTACAGCATTCACATTCAACGCAACGATTTGGTATTTTGATATGCGGTGCGATAGTCCAATTTGATGTTGAATTGAATCAAGTCCCCAATGACATATTCAGTGTTCCAAGTCACAGGAACCAAACGAATAGCTGTATCAACACTCCACCGCTATACTTCTCCGCTTTTCCATAACTCAACGAAACATAGGGGAAATCAACATGAATGAATGAAATTCGTTTATTCATTCGCACGGTATTCGTATCAACCAATAGAACGCATAGCGGTTACACACAACGAAGGAGAAATATGCACAGTTGTACTTCACATACTGCAGAGGCGTACATGGATTGGTATCGTTGCCGTTGCTTCAACAACAACAACAACAACAAACTATACTGCTTCTATCCAGAGCAGATGAATATGATTTAATTCAACGCGGTTGCACAATGTAACGAACAGTTTTCCAAAGATAGTCGTTGCGTTCGGACGTTTGTGTCGTCTGTGTTTGACACATTCAAATTTTAAACAAGTGATTTTTTTCCATTCAACATCATTTCATCATCATCTCTATCTGTATCTTCATATCTGATTGACCACTGAATTGGAATAAAACATTTTACCCATAGGCAACGACAGTGGATTCAGTTATATAAATATTTCCTTTTTTTGTTGATTTATATCCTGTTCCATGATTATGCTCAATTTTAAGTGAATATTTGTTTAACCGAAGAAAAAAAAAACAAATTTAAAAAAACACACAAACATTTAATCATCATTCGCACGTATAATAATCTCATACTGTGTTCGTAAATTAAAACCGTGCCAACACAGATATAATTTATGGATTTATGTAAAGTGCACAGAAAAAAAAAACAATACCACATTTAAATATCGTTATCATGTACAACATTCAGAATTAAATAAAATTGAAATAATAACGAAGCATTTTCTCTCTAGTGGAACATTTTTAAAATAAACATTTAAGAGGAATACGGAATTATTACATTTATCAAAGAAAAATAAAACAATTTTATTGATTGCAAATTATTTTCCATCTGAATTATAAATAAAATATCGTGCTGAGTGTTAACCTTTTAACCATTTTATCAAAAGTGACTATAATTCGAGGATTTTCGGACTTTGGAAAACAAACAAAAAGTCATTGATAAAAATACAATTTAAATAAACCGAAGTCAAACCGTTTTTCCTATCAACCATAAACTGATTGAATCATACGATTCATACAATTCGAAAACCTACCGAAACGAATATATTAAATACACATATATATATATTACTCAAATGTAATCGCCATCAAAGCGAAAAAAACACTGCCATCGTTTTTCATCGCACAATTTTGACTGTTGAGGACATTGTGAATATACACACACTTGCAAATAATCTATGACTTAAAAGAAGAAAAAATCGAAAGTTTCTTTTTGGTGATTTTAAAAAGGGGACTTCAACTAGGAACCAAAGTCAAATAAATCACTTGAAGTGAAACCAACCAAGAATTCAGTGCAAAATTTATATCTCGTCTCAACTAAACTCAAATAGAAATATTCGCAACGAACTATGAAAAAGCAGCCGCATACAACGACCGCTATCATACGTTGAGAACCTTTTTTATTTTCTTGTGTCGAAAGGCAGAAAAGTGGTATTTATATAAAAAATCAACAACGTACGAAAAGATTTCGTGAAGTTGTCACCCTCAAAGAAAAAAGAGAAACGAGCCCCCCTGATAACAAATTGGTTCGCATCAATTTCGATTTATCGAATTTTTCCGTTGCTTTGTTGGTGTGAACAACAAAAAAGTGTCAGAAATTTAATCTATGAAAATTGGTGTGATAAGGATAAGAAATTGCTCCCAAACGTGTTAGCATCCCTTTTACGCTAGAATAGTATTTTCCCTCGTTTAATATATACGTGGCTAAGCGATACGAATGTGGTGGTGGTGGTGGTAGTGTAACCAATTTTGAGTGACAAAAATGATGATAAATTGAATCGGTGACGATGACTGTAACGATCATGCTTGTTATTCCATTTGTTAAATAAATATTGATACAAAGCAATTAGTGTTTACACAGTAATTGTGTAAATTGTGCTGCTCATACATGCACACACGCACTGTCGTCGGCCAAACAGTCAGCGACTGTTGTCGAAAATTTTGAACGAAGAACAATAACGACACACACGCACAGACACATCAACTTGATAAGATACACAAATCTTGAATTGGATTTCCGTACTTTTACGTTAGCAAATACAAATTGTTGGTATCTCAGCTGAGGAAAAATAGCACACGGAAATAGAAATGAACAAAGAAGCAAAGAAAACATAGAAAATAAAAGAAAATGTTAAGTGAAATAATAAAATACAAGAGAACAAAAGAAGAAATAAAGTAGACGTGTTGTCACAACCACGTCAAATGAATGTCGCATCGCATTTATATCGTGTACACATCTTACATGCACAATCTTAATCCCAACGTCTAACATTTATTTAGGTAAATGAATATCGCTGAACAGTGTGATAACCATTCCCAAAACGAAAAAAAGTGACAGAGTATTTTGCGTTCGCTTTTTGTGTAACTGTTTAACAGTGTGAAATAAGTGAACTGAGGGGGCACAAAACACTTACCTTGCAGTCACAAAAGAAGTAATAAACAAACGCACACACACACACACACCAATAAATAGAACATTGAATAGAAATGTTTACTGTTTACCAAAGTAAGAAGTGAAGTTGAAGTGATAATCCAAAGTACACATTGCACACCAGCAAAAGAGAAAAAAAACTACCACAATTTCGAATAAATACGAACAAATTCGGTTTATTACAAGTGGGTGCGTGCTATAGAAGGCTAACAATTGCAGTAGTACTTTTTGGTTTCGCAAAAAATCTAGGTGTTTCGTGCATTTTCAAAATAGAAAAGAAAACTGAAACGAAATCCGATTAAAATCAATACAATCTGGATTACATTATGAACAAACAGCAATACAAACGCACAAAGTAAAACCAGCAAAGAACATTTCGACCAAACGTTGAATTTCATTTCGAGTGCTTACCATTCTTATTCACACGTTCTCGTATACTTTTCGCCTCAAGTGCGTCTCAAGCAGATAGAAGCTTATTGCTTTATGGTGCTAGTTTCGAATACAACATACATTCGCACATACTTGGCAAACTTTATCATCCCAATGTAAACTGACCAACTGCACTGAAGTGGACTACTAAATTCCAATATGAATAAAGAGGTTTGTTATTCAATCACATTGTTGTGTATTTCCTTTTTTTTCTTCTTCCATTGTTTTCATTTTTATACATTGGGCTCGGTTTTATGTTTTTGTTCTGTGTTTTTTGCCTTATTTTTATTGCTCTGAATCCAACCGAACTTATCCTCGTTTAAGCTACTAAATCGATTGATTTCGCAACATTGCGGCCAATTTCACATGTCCGTTGTATTATGAAACCCATTCACCTGAGTTTTAGGTTTCTAGATTTTCCGAAAAGGTGTGCCATTTGCACAAATACACCGACCAGTCTTTGGTATAGAAAATATGGTCAAGAAGTTTTCATCGTATTCGATTTAAAGAATTTTCCCTTCGATTTGTTTGGCATCTGGTATTTAAGTGATGATAACTTTTAAGTGTTATGTAATTGCATACGATGAGCAAAAATGGATAAACATGTTTACGAGAAACAGATAACTTTGTCATCATTGAAACAATTCAATGAAAACAAACACCAATCGAACCTTTCTACGATATTATTATCGATCGCTTGTTACATCATTCATTGAATATAGAAATCTTTTGTACGCAATTGAAATTGTATATACAGATTGATTAAAACATGATACATTACACACAAGCATACACTGATTAATATTTCTTTTCTCTAACCAACGCCTCACTCATTTATTTATGGAATTCTATTTGTTCAAGTTTTTGTTTTTGTTTCGATGGCGTCGATAAACGAACAATAAATGCATCAAATGATGGAATATCTATATTGAAGTTAAGTCGACCAATGCCAATTCGTCCTTAGTTTGACTAAGCTTCGTGTGTAACATTTTATTTTGTTTGAATTGTCTGACCCATTTCATTGATTCATTCTACTAATATTGTAACATTGAAAACGGCTTTACAAGAACTTGGTCCCTTTGACAGTTTAGTTGGATGAAAATACGAAGCGTTAATAATTGAGTCATTTTGATTCTTTTGATATTTAAACTTCTTTTTCGATCGAGTGATTGAATCGTTTAATAAAGTCAATTTAAACATAGCGCGCACAGTTCGGTTTGACATGTATCGTATATTCTCTTCTCTCTATTTTCTACATTACAATCGAATTTTTCTCGACTGAACGACTCGGATCGTATCGATTATATTGACCGACGAAAATGTTGGCTCTGCCATGAGAATATGTCTCTCATATTTTTTTAATCGTCGTGTCAATGAAGCACTTTTCACGTGGCTATAACACAAAAACAATAAGCTATCGATCGTACAAAAGAGAACAAAATAGCATTCACATTTTTTGTGTTCTTTATTTTTGTTCGTCTGGAAATTGTTGAGCATGCATTCATCCTTTCTTAATGCGATAAAGCTGACGGATTATGCGATTGGTTGGCAAAAACCATAAGCGTCTATTCTGTCCAGATGAATAAGCATTCGAAACTCAATATGTGAAACACAATAGAGAGGTAAGCGTTATATTGGTCTCATATCGGCCCACACAAATAAAATTTAACTGGAACAAATGTTCGATGCCAGCTCAACCGCATCTCAGTCGCTGTGTTAAAAAAGCAGTGCACAAAAATGAACAACTTTAATTGCTCGATACGGAAATATGCGGTTGAAATTCACGAAACGTCTAACATTATGGACAACTTATAACACGTCTATTTCTATGCCGTCATTTTCAAATGTAATTATACTAAATGGTATGTCTGGTAATGTGGAACGAGATTTTTTGTTTTATTTTGTAAACTCAAAAATAATCACAATTATATGCATGTTTCTATATAAGTCAGTAATGTGCGAGCTACATTTTACAGGGGGGGGTGATTTTTCAAAAACTAAAAATTCTCTCATCTGAACAACAAATTTCGTTTTTTTTTTTTTTTTTTTTTGCTCTTCACTTTTTTGGCGAAAATCCCTAGCAAATCGAAAGAATTTTCTCCGCGCAAAACCTCAGGAAATTACAATAAAATCGTTTTTTTTTTTGGAAGTCACTTTTTGAGGCGAAAATCCCTAGCAAATCGGAAGAATTTTCTCACCCAAACAAAGTAAAGAGCTAAAAAAAAAAAAAAAAAAAAGGTCTTCACTTTTTTCGTGAAAAACCCTAGCAAATTCGAATAATTTTCGCGAAAAATTTTTTCTCATCCAAATCACAGGGGGGGGTAAACCCCCCCCCTTCGCACATTACTGATATAAGTAGTCAATATCTTACCACTCAATGCACGACTGAAATAAATCAATCATTTTTGTTTCTATGGTCAACGAATCGTGTACTTTCAAATCGTGTTTTATTTTTAGTTTTCGAATTTATTTTATTTTTTGTTCATTTTTAAGTCACGACATTGTTCGGTTCAAAGTTGAAAATATGTGGTGGCGGTGTAACAAATAACGAAAAAAACGTTTGACCAGTTGACATTTTTAAATAGGATTGTAGTTGGAGGAGTCGAAAATAGAAGTTTTTTTTTATAAATATAGTTTACTATACGAAATTCGGACTAAATTTGAAAATAGCATGTTATATGTATTTGCTTCTTCATTTAACCCACACAAAGTTATAGATGAGGTTGAACGTTTTTTTTTCTTTTTTCAAAAAAATGTGTTTAATTAAAAGTGTTGATAATTTAATTGGGGTACGGATATTGTCCGGTATATCCTTATAATTTTGGGTTCAAAATATTATTCTACTAACGCCGAAATTAGTCGTGTCGATGGCTCGGATACATAGTATTTTTATTGAGATGTACGTACAAAAACGTGCCTGTACGCACTGAACATTTCATGCGCACAAAAAACATCATAATTTAAGACACTTCTTTTTCCGGTACGGAAATTTCGAAAAGAAAAACACAACTGTACAATTAAATCAAGATAAGCGAAAGAAATTGAGTGCATGGATATGTTTATTTTTTATACATTGACTGTGTATGTTCGAGAGATTGTGTCGAAAACAAGATACTGAAAAAAACAAACAGTTAAATATTTAAGAGAAGATAAATTACGGTAAACTTTTACAAACACAAACAAGAAAGTTTTGAATATGTTATCGTCTTCGTTTTCGTTGATTCACTTTGACTCTTAAGGAAATGTGAAAATAATAAGGAAACATTTTAACTTAATATTTTCAGCACAGTTCAAACCATAAAGTCGACACAATATATTTTCATTAAAAGTTTTTCATTCAAAATAAATGAAATATAACCCGATTTTTCTGAATTTTTTAACTCGTCGATTATAAATATTTAAATTTTTTTTTCAATATAAAGCGTATTTTTTTGTACATTTATAGGCTCAGATCTCTAGGTGTTACCATATGGTGGCCGTAAGAAGATTCAGTTTAATATATTGCATAAATGCGTTGTTTGGCTATAGTGCAAAGGTTAAACAAGTAAATTCAATTGAAACCCGTTAAAAATGCTGAATTTCTGTTAATATTATGCAAATTCTAAATTATTAGTTGGATCATTAATTTAAGTAAAGTATTATTTCAAGAAAATGTAAAACTTTTCTTCCCGAACATCATTTTTCTTGGTGCTGCTTGAAAAAAATTAACTATAGAAATGTTCAATTAATCAAAGTAGACTGTATTACAGAAGAATACATTCCATGTGCGTCATAGAACAAATCTAATTTGATTTTGATAAAAAAAGTGAACACGGTGGGATGTGAATGTTGATTGTTAGGCCCCCAGTCTCAATTTTAATTTGTTTTGATTATTTTCCCTCTTCTAAATTACCGAATCAGAAAAGTGCTTGGTATAAAAAATATCCTCATATTGTTTCTCCTTGGATTTTTCCCGCTGTTCTGACATCGGCAATAGATGCCAAGAAGAAGAAAAAACACGAGTCAAATGATCTAATGCAAAATCAAACATCAACAAATGGACATTGATGAGGGTCCTTTCCTGGAATCAGAAAAAGGCAAAAAAGACCAATGCTGAAACCTATTTTCTAGTTAGGGAATATTGAATATGTTGTTGTTGTACGCTACGTGACTTATTGGCGGCGAACTGTGTGTGGCAAATTTAAACACAAATCGAAACTCTATATGTGGCCATAGTAATTGTTCAAGCTATAGAAAGTTAATCGAAATGCATTTGTAGTGGAACAAGAGATGGAATGTTGAGATGCTAAATGCTTCGTAGTGATTTCGCTCACTCTCTCTCTCTCTCTCTCTCTCTCTCACAAACACAAATCTAATTGAGTTCGTGTCGGTTCGAAAAACTCATTTGCCATTCAGAGATTGTGAAAAGTGATACAACCGAGAATGCGAATGAAATGGAGAATGAATATGGTGGCCAACAGAGAGACATGAAACCAGCAGACACATGCCATACATATCTTAAATGGTGATAATTAATCGTTGTCAATTTGAAGTTTATCTGCTTGTTTTTTGCCTTTTTATCTTATTTTAACTGAAAATTTATTGCAGCTGAAGTCAAGCGTACACACTACACAGTAAATGTAGTCCCAACAAATCACAAGCAATCGTTTATTGTCAAAATGCATCGGTGAATGGCATTACAGTTTACACGAGGGGATGCTTGACGCACACTGTTTAACGAATTCGTACCAATGAATTTTTTAAGAAGCTGTATGTCTCGACAAAAACATAGCAAAAAAAAAAACAAATAATACGTGAGAATATATTTTTTTATGTTCGTTCACCGCTCTTGAACATGCAACAAAAAACACACTTCAATTCAGAGAAGGTTCAACCAAAAGAAAGTTGGGAAACGAAAAATTAATGATGACACTTTTTACTTTTACCATTTCGTATTAATATCACATTCCATATGCGTTCATTTCGAAGCACTTTTGCCAATAATTCACCGTTGAATTGGTGGAATTGGCCATGGTTTTCGTCGCTCATTTATTCGGCTGGCACAAGATGTCAAAAAGAAAAAAAAAGGTGTGCACACTTAAACGATTCACCTAAATTACTTATGCATGCAGCCGAAAAGCTATCGGTTTGATGGCGAAGAAAGACGAGAGACTAAAAAAACACATTGAAGTATTACGCATTCGCACATTTATTTTAATGTCTTTTCCCACCTCCTTTTTCCCCATTCTCTTTGATTTTGTTCCATGAAAAAACATTTTCTTTTGTTCGCCACCATTCATTTCATTCGCACATTATTATACATCACAACACCATAATGTATTTGTTTACTTTTTTGCTCTCCCACTCTATCTTCCTCTCTTCTCATACACTTTTTTGATAGTATATTTTATTATCGCATTTTTTTCTATGCTCGCATAAAGAATATATTGGGTTACGTGTTGACAAGGGCAAGCACATGTGCCATTCGTTTTGATATCGTCTAAAACTTTTCAGTCAACACATCGTTATGTGTTGAAAAAAAAAAAAATATGACAACGACAATAACGACGACGACGCTGAAATTGACGATGCCAACAAGAATAATTGCATCCATTAAACTTGGCACGAACCTATTATATCAAACGCTTCTTATGATCGAACAATGGATTATTTTATGTTATGCTTGCGTATTTTCCGCTTCGGCAATATTTAATGCTACTCTGAAATTCGTTTCACACGCAAATTGGGTTAGCACAGCATCTTGTAAAAAAAGTCGTTGCTCAATTTCAAATGTGGAAAAACTTGGCAGATGAGCAAAAAAGGAAATATGTCAAATCATTTCTTTTAAGATATTTTAATGTTGATAACATTACCTTGGTGAAAATTGATCACACGTTGCAATGTTGAAGTACGATAGCATTAACCATTATTTTTGTGATGTACGAGAATTTAATGAAATTCTTTATACATTTACAAGCTCTGACAATCGGATAAATAATAAATGTGATGCAAACAACGGAAAATAACACACCGAAAAGTTGAATCATTGTAAACAAAAACAGACATCACATACAATTCACATGAGAGAAAAATCACCATTTTTTCACTGAAAATGAATTAAAAATACGCACCGCCAAAACTTGTATACGATAATTATTAATGATGGTGTGTAATGATAATGAACTCACTCACAAATAATTACAATGCGTTCCAGACTTCGTTTAAGTGAAATTAATGGGTTTAGGGAGAAATCTAGACTCGAACACATTGTATTTGGGGAAAATGAATGAGTCGATTGGTCTGTAGCTAATCGATACCGAGAAAATTCTTTGGCTTTGCCTTTGTTGTGTATTAGGCTTGTCGGATTTCGTTTCTCTCTCTCTCGCTCTCAAAAACTCAAATGATGGATGCAGCCACACTACTTCAATTTAAGTTTTTGATTGAAAATCCACACAATTTTTCAATTATGTCATTGGATAAAAACTTCCCAAGGAGAAACGAAATGCGACAAGCCTATTGTGTATTTCCACAACGATTTGCGCTTGATGTTGATGACGATTGAATTATTCGCTTAATTTAACTGCAAAACCTGAATAGTTTATGGGTTGTGCAATTTTGAAATACAATGACCAAGAGAGAGAAAAAGAATCATAAAATTACAGTTCTATCCATGAGTTGGCAAGAAATTGTTTGCTATTTTTCAAATGAGCCATTTTTTACTTCTATACATATATGGTATGTAACAAAAGGTTGTAATATTGGTACTTCGAATTTTTATTTTTCCATTATTTCGGAAGTGATATATTAAAAACAAATTATACCATCAGTAAATTTGTCATTTTTTGGGAAAATAATGTTTACAAAGTCATAATTTTACGAAAGGTAACATATAACGATGTTATATATAACATATTTGGAAAAATAATTGTCAATTTATCGCAGGCCTGGAAATCCACCGACGGGGCCTGGTGCGGGTGCTTGAAATAGTAGCGAATCAGCATTCATTTGCGGAGGTTGAGCACTCTGGGGTAGGTTGTGGTAGCTTCCGTCATAGTAATACGGTGGGCCACCGTCTGGAAAAACAGGACGGCCGACATGTTTTGGCGTTGCAGTCGCTCCTTTATTTTTATTGTTTGTACAACATAACCAACCATCATCATCATCATCGTTATCATTTGAATTACCACCATAAACCCTGCCTGCATCTAAAAGAGTAGATTTGCTAACGTAATCTTTAATTCACTATAATTTTCTTATGAAAACTTACTATTTGCATTTACTCCAGTACCTATACCACGAAATCCTCCTGTACCTGGGGCAAAAAAAGTATTTTTTTATTTTTCTGAAGATTTTTGTAAGAATTTACCCTCGGAACTACCAGATGAGCGGCCACCTCCCCTTTTAATACTCTCATGAATTTTCTTCTCCTTCAATTTTCTATTTCTAAGTCCATCTTTCGGGTCACCATTGCATTGGACCATTGTAATTAGAAGCTGTTGAATAACATATAAATTCTAAATAGTAAAAATTAAACTAAAATCCAAATCAACATTTTAACAATCACCTCGAAAGCTATTATTCCGATAAAAAATAATACGAATACTTTTCGATTTGCCATGTTTTCACACCTTACTGAATATTTCGATTGAATGAAATAGGTTTATATACGCTTTATTTGGCGTAAACAAGAAAATATATTTTTGAAAATATAAACTTATTTTGTTTGCTCAAACTGTATTAATTTACGTCAATCGAATATATTCAGTATAATAAAATAATAATATACATAATAACGACTTTGAATTTAGTGTTTGAACAGCAAATTTGTCTCAAAATGCCTTAACCCTCCTAGGTATAGTAACGGTCTATTAGACCGAAAACTTAAAAAAAATATCATAAAATGGAAATGCGTCGACCGATTGGCATCAAATTTTCGCCTTTTTACGAGAATAATGGATAAATATTGAAAATAACATTTAAAATCCTGAAACTGTTCTGTAAAAAAAAAAATCCAGAAAGACGAAAATCCTAACTTGATCGTATAGTTACGGTCTCTTAGACCGTCCATACAAAATGTATGGGAAACACATAATCAAGCATTTTCACAAATCAAGTTGGTGAAAATTTATGATATCCGTTTAATAAAAATGAAAAACTAAATTGGAAAACGAGAAGATAGGTTGAAATTCTCAAGAAAAATCAATTTGAATCTTGTTTATCGCGTACATAATATTATTATTTCAACAAAATGTCTGTCAGAAAAAAAATCGATCTGAAGTCTACAATAGCACAAAAGGCGGTGTGGATGTTTTGGATCAAACTAGGGATCAAATGTGCCATTCAAACTCATGTCAACTTGGAACCAATCGATGGCCATTTCCATTCTTCATGAATCTCATCAACGTATGTGGTGTTGCAGCATTTGTTCTTTACAACACAAGTCACGATATCACGCATGAACAGTATGCATTTCAACGCAAGACATTTTTGATCGAATTGTATGAAGGTTTAGTTTACGATCATATCTCACGGCGAACAGCGCGTGGCATGAATGCATATAATCAGTTGGCTTTCAAAGAAGTTCGTGAGTATTTGATGGGTCAAGAGGAACAAGAAGCGCCAGTTACACCACGACAACGACGTGCATGTCATTTATGTCCAAGTTCAATCAATCGTAAAACCAAAACATGTTGCGACAAATGCAATAAAAATGTATGCGGCGAACATTCGAAAATCACTGTTGTGTGTGCAAAATGCGAGAAAAAAACGCTCTCATGTAAATTCAAATGATGATTCAAATTAATTATTTTCTTGAAATCTTTTCAATTTTTAACTTTCAAACCTTTTTCAATGTTTTTATTTTAAAAAAATGCAAAAATTTGAAAAAATGTGTGATTTTGTTTTGGTTTTTGTTTGATTTCCCTGTATTTTGTATGAACGGTCTAATAGACCGTAACTATACTATATTGTTTTTATTTCGAACTATACCTAGGAGGGTTAAAAAATTCACATCACATTCAATGACTATAAAATGATAACTCCATTACAAGTTTTTTTTCTAAAAATTATTGTATTTTTTTCTGAAAAATAATAACATCTGTTTTGAACTATTGATTCTGTGAAATGTTTATTTTTCAAACCCTGTTAATAACAATATTATTTAATGAAGAGATGAAGATAAATTGTATTTTTGATACTATAGTATAATCTATATAGATATTTGTATATTTTAATGCAATAAATGTCAGCATGACATTCGAAATTAATTGTAAATTGATAATTCATCTAATCTATTTGAATATTTACAATTTTTACTTTCTTTAACGAGAATATATTTCTCATCTTTCGTACAGTTCATAGTTAAATGTTATGAAACGTAGTCAAAAATTAAAATTATAGTAACCAAAAGCAGACATCACATACAATTGCATGAGAGAAAAAACTACGGTTTTTTGGTTATAAAACACTTACGTTGGTACAATAATTATAACAATCACTTCTATTATTTTATCAAAAATAGCGTGCTATTTCTTTTCATTTCAAATGAATATTCAGCCCAATATATTGTCTGTTTTGGACTTCATTCAAGTAAAATCAATTGATTTCGGAAAAAAATCTAGACGCAAACGCATTGTGTTCACAGAAATCGTTTGGGGAAACTAAATGAGTCGAAAAATTGCAAATGTAGCAAATCGATTCCGTGATTTGTCTTTGCTGTGTGTTTCAACAATGATTTGCGGTTGATGTTCATCGAATTGTTCGCTTAACTTAACTGCAAAACTGGAAATTCAGGTCCTGATGGCAAATGAATTGTGAAACTTGGCGTTACATACGCATTCATCCTCTCTTTCAAAGACGAGGTATAGAAAGAAAAAAGCACAAAATTACAGTTCCATCCATGATTTAGTATAATTTGGTAACAAATCGTTTTTGGCATGAATTTTAGATTGCAACTCATGTATTTGTACATAATTAAAGAAGCCTATAGCATATAGGCTGCTTGCGGCCGAAATGTTGTGATGAGAGCATTACATCCAGCTGAGAGTAATTTGCAACTATTTTTCCTATTTTGCTTTCTCTCTTCGTCAATCAACAATTTTTTTGATGCAAGGGGCTAAAATTGGATAATTGATAACATTTTTTTTCCGTTTTTCATCCCTCAAAAGACGAAATTGAATTTCCTTGTAATGAATAGTAAACGATTTTCCATTTTCCGGACACAACCATACAAATGCTGTTTTTCACATATTTGTGGGAATGACGCATTGTATTTACGTTGACTATACCCCGCCGTTTTTTCATCTGGATTTGAATCTCAGCACTCACTGTGCTCACTCTTCGGATGGTGGAAAAAATTTGTGCAAAGTCATTGTGTATAAATTTATTTATTCCTTTCTATGTGGAGCACATCATGAAATCGGCTTCCTGTGCTTACAATTTGCTTTTGTATGCGCACACTTTACGCCCACAAATATACTATTCAGAAAATATTTTATTCAAAATTTCTCCAGTGGTTTATTCACTGCCTACAATAGTCCCGCCGACTGAATTTTCAGCTGGCTGTGCAAGCTATTGCATGCTATAACATATAAATTTAATAGAATGTTAATTTCTCTATATCTATATCAGGACATTCTTTTTCGAAATGAAACATTGTCGCAGCTGAAAGTCCTATACCCTATCGCAAACTATGAATCAAATCTTGATTTGCTCTATTTGATTTAAAGCAGTAAGTTCCGACAGGGGAGGGGAGGTTTTCCACCCTCGGGGTCATTGAAAATTCTTTCAATTTGCTTACCGGATTTTGGAAATCACATTCCTTTTGAAATACGACCCAGGACACTACTGGATTTGAAGTGAAATTATCCGCCTCGTGCTGACACATATGCATTCAATTGAAAGTCCATTCAAAAATACAATTAGTTTGGAAGATTCGGATATAAATCGATATTATACATTGCTTATGAAAAATAAATTTAATTCCATTTCCGAATGAGCGGATACGGTTTCACAACCGCAGACTAAAGAGGAATGTATACCACATTAAATTACATGATATTCCAATGTTCATGTTAATATTAGCATTGTTTCTGAACGTACTAATTGATGACCATAATAAAACATTCAACAATTGCATTTTGACATGGTCGACAGCACCTGAGAACAATCTCCAATTTGAATACACCATTGTGTGTTTCATGTTTGTGCAAATGAATAAAATATATGTGCATCGTTGAATTTGAGCATAAGAGTAAAACTTTATAATGGCATTGATTAAAATGTATGTGTGAAAAGAGGGCCTCTTTCACACAAACCATGGATCCATTGTTTCTAATTTTTTTTTGTTTCACTTCTGCAATTTTGTACGAGAGGCGCAAAAAGTTTGCTGTTATGCAGGCGTAATGTACATATCACCGATGTGCAGGCAGGCAAACACGGGCGGTGTACACACACATCAAAAACCCTTCGATACACAAACTGTGCTGTGTACAAGCGAGACCAAAGCAAATCAGGCACAAATGTACACATCGAATGTGTTTAAGGACAATGATAAAGTTTCAAGCAATTAAATTTGTTCTCTCTTTTTTTCGAGCAATTTACTACTACATTTGGTTTGACTGCAAGGAATGTAACAGTCTTCTGTTTGGTATTGCGATGTGAACATTCATGCGAAACTCACACAATGTGTGTGTATTTTACAATGTTTGAGTTGGCTTAAAAAAATTCATTTCGACTTTTTGTGTGGTTGCTATTTTCCAATGCATTTTTATGCTCAATTTAATCCAATTTTGCATCTTGGTCACATTTACATGTGTGTTTGTTGAAATGCCGAAATAGTTTTTTTTCGTTCAATGTTTACCAAATTTTCGTATGTTTGCTAAGTACTGACCTAGTATTTCGACCAAATAAAATTCAACATTCTTCTGTCACCATGGATTATTCTTTTTTTGTGTTTTTCAAAAGAATATATTTTAAATATGGGGACGAATGGATGCATTCAATGTGCATAATCTGTTGCTAAGGTGAGCTGACTTTTAGATGGTACAATTGACGCTAATGTAATTCAGTTGCTGAATTCATACTCTCTGAGGGAAAACGTTTCGTATTGAAAATGTTGTTGATGTTGCTGTTGTCGTCAATTTACCGTCAACATTAATGTGATATTTGGTTAACATGTTGCTATTGCAAACGCAACAAATTTTCAAATGACAAGAAATTACAAAAAAGGCATATAATTTGTCATTAAAAGTTTGGACAGTGTGCTAACTTTTTATTTGAATTTTGCATCGTCTGCATGTCTGAACAAATAGAAATAATCAGAGCAATACTGTTGGGAATACTAAAATTAAATTTTCTGCCAATTTTTTTTCTCTCCCGTCATTGCTTGCAACAAAGTTATCCATTCATTACGCAACATGGCTAGGAGGTTCAATATAATTGAATATAACAAGAATTTTTTTTAAACCATGTCGTTTGGATTAATCAGCACTGTTTAATGCACGCAAATCACCATTTTTCCACCGAAGTTTTTTTCAACACTTCAGCATATAATCAGAAAATATTTTTGTTGTTGTTGAAAAAAGACATTCAATTTGCATTTGAATCTTTTTGACCTATATTTCGACATTGTAATCAAATAGAAATAGCAACGGGATCACACTGTTACATGACCTGCTG